AATATATTACAATAGAAAGCAGTTATTTTAAATTGTAATAATATTACTGTTTTTACAGTATTAATGCAGCCAACCCCAAACCCTTAAACAGTAGTGTATGTTTCTCACAAAACCTGTCAGGAGCAAGTCCACATCATATTTCAAGGCCAAATCAAAAGAGAAAAAATATTTTCTATAAAAGAAAAAAATGAAGCATGTTTAGGACCATTAAGATTTTTATCCATTGCGAAAATTAAGCACTTTCCCCTCAAATGTCATTACTGGAAAGCAACTATACATACTAATTATAGTCATATTTTCTGCATCTAATGTTTATGCTCATTTTTAAGAAAAATTGTATCCGAGCAATACCAATCTCATAGCTTTTTTTTTTGTTGCATTCCATTAATGAGAATAATTAAAGTTCCATGAATGAGAATTCTCACAATGAGGATTGTCTAATAATGTCACAATGAACGAAAGTCTTCTCAGTGTTTAACATTCTCCTGTAGGCACCATCGTTGCGTAACGGCACCGAACGGCCCTTCTTCCTGGTTGAGTACACCGGTGAGGGACATTCCTCTGAAGATCCCAGCTGCCCTAAACTCGGCCCTGGACTAGCTGTAAGTGCTTCAGGAATCACACACTACACTCTTAAAAACAAAGCTTCTTTATTGGTTCCATGAACAACCTTTAAAATCAATGGAACTTTGCTATTGCACAAAAGATCCTTTATAGTGGAAAAAAATGTTCTTCACACTATTGTTCTTTGTAGAAGCAAAAATGGTTCTTTTATGGCATGATGCATTTTCCCATCAACCTCTCCCGATTTCTTTTAATACCAAGTGACGTTTTCTCTTTCTTCTAGGAGTGCTTCCCAGACTGCGTATGCGAAGACGCCTTCAACAACACGTACGCCTGCGTCAGAGCTCTGAAGGATGCAAACCTGCAGTACTGCGAATTCGCAGACAACGAGGTGAGCACATGTCAGAACAGGTGGGCCGTTGTGGACCCAACTTTAAGCTGAATTTCCCCTGTGATCTCCTGCAGTCGTTCGTAGAGGTGTACA